TACTGAGCCTGGCGAGAAAGGAACCGTGAGAGCTTAACCTATAGGCATTCTACATATATACAAGAATATATGAAAGAAACATAGTTAAAAGAAAGACTAGTCATGCACTCATGATAAGTAAAGAAATTAATGGTGATATATGAGACTAAATTGCCTGAAAAAGTGCAGAGTGATATTTAGTATGAATCCCCTAGGATGTGTTCTTCTCAGTTAGAACCTTTAAGTGGATTTTGTAGTGTATATGATAAAAATGTCCTATTTAATTCTAAACATAGTCATTGCATGTCAATTTGTACAGATTCGACTTTATACTGTTTAAAATTAACATGCTATACACCAGACAGAAAATTAAGTGAAAAGGCTGCACGATGAGAGAGATCTGCTCGTTCGTATGAACGAACGGTATAACAATTTAACATAGTGATAGATAAGGGAATTTAAGCAGTAAAACAGATTGTGTTTGGCTAAAAATGAATGAATGGCAAAGAACTGTATGCAAACGTGATGCCTGCGGTCGGCTGTTTAGACCACACAAAAGAAAAACGAAAATGAGTGTACCCTGCGGTCGGCTGTTTAGCCGCACAAACCGCAGAAGTATACAAACAGGTGAAGGGAGCCTATCCCCTAATTTTTAGGCCTGAACGTGGGAAATAGCCAAACGCTATTTCCCACGTTATGCTTACGTGGATGTGCCGGTCTCATGACCGGAAGCCGGGTACCGAGGCCGGTGAGAAGCCGGGTGGCAGGCACAGAGGTCAGAGGCAGAGGAAACTGCTGGCGACAGGACTCCTGATGGAAGCTTAAATGTTTGGGTGGGAACTTTGGACCGGAAGTGCTGATTGCTAGGGAGAAGTCAAACAGCTTGAACGGCAGAGGTGAGTAGGGGCTAGGAGTTTAAATAGGGGCCATAACTCCTCGCACAAATTCAGGACTAATGGCCTTTTAACTTACGAACAAGTTTTTCCATAAATATTAAATAATTTTCAAAAATGTATCCAAAAATATTTAATAATGGCCTTGCAATTTAACTATTTACTGAATAAACCCTTGTGTGTTTGCATGTGCACATATTGGACATCAAGGGGGCCAAGGACCAAGTTTGCCGAAGGGACAAAATTACTGTCATTCGATATCTGACCAGATGTGAATACGTTTTTGATGTTGAGAAAATTTGAGGATATGGACCATCTCACATATTTTACTGGTCCTACTCCACAAAGAATCATTGTGTCTCCAACCACCCAGAGGGAGTATGATGTGCTGCCTCACAAAACCTACTACATGTGGCTCCTACAGGAAGAAGACTTGGAAAAAAGCTCAAGGGACATTTGATCAAAGGTTCCACCATCCACTAATCCTCCATTTAGCCCCACCTTCCCCTTCTTGCAGGTGCTGCTGTTGCCAAACTCACTCATCCAGGTGCAAGCACCCACACCGCCAATGCAGTTGCCACACTTTTTATCTGGTTCCACCTGCACTATCAGGGTTGCTGTCACAACTACTACTATCACCTGCATTCTATAAACATATATTCCAATATTGTTGGCTTCTTTTTCCATGTACATTCTCGTAAAACTGCCCCAGGAAGAACTTCTAATGGCCCTCTGATGAGCTGAAAAGGCAGTGTTTACAGAAAAAAGCCTGCAGGGACAGGATATAGACACCGGAAAACCTACATAAAGCTGTAGTTTTTCTGATGATTATAGTGTCCCTTTAATTTCATCCCTTTAATTTATTTTCTAGAATTTTTATGTTGACCTAAATAAGCTAGTTTTATTCTCCTTGTTTATTCACAATTTTATTCTTAATATGTTTCATATATTTTTTAAGTAATAACTGAATTGAACATCATACATTCTATAAACATATATACCAATTTGTTGGCTTCTTTTTCCATGTACATTCTCGTAAAACGAAGAAGGTATAAAATAAAATCACGTTGAAGACATTTATAAATTTTAAATAAAATAATATAAACTATTTTAAATTGAATTTGGCTTCATTTGTGTTGGTTATTTATGTAACAATTTAAATGATTAAAAAATTATCATTATTAGTAGTAATATATTTCTTTATTTATATAACAGTATATATTCAACAAGCAACATAGTAGATTTTGACAGTCCTGCACAAACGCTAACAATTTAAATAAATGTTCCAAAGAACATAAATGTTAGTTTTTTTTCTACAACTGTGAAAATGAAAAAAGTAACATTTAATCTATCACTGTTATGGTTTTCACCTTATTTAGCATTCCACCCGTGCCACCATTCCCGCACCATATTCCTGAAGCATGTTCACTGCCAGCTGGTGAGGGAGCAAAGGAGAATTGCCAGTGTCATAATCTGCATATCACATCTCATGGAAACCAATTTTCAGGTGGCATGAGCTGGTGAGCTGGCTGTCCGGGACCGGTGGGCTATGGACTGCCTGGTTCATAGGGAGTCTACCTCTGCAAGGTGACAGTGTGTTTTTCCAGGCTTTTGACCTGGCATTGTGTCGATCTTACCCATACATTCCCAAATGGGGAACGCCTGAGCAAACAGAGATGCCATAGCATTAGTCATGACATAATGAAATCTCCCCTCGCAGCACAACTGGTCAGACCCTCTGCCTTTCACCTCTCCCTTTAATTGTCATATGTTTTTAACATAATAATGTTTTTAATATAATGTAACTTTACCATGATTCTCCTCACTAATTTAAATGAATGTTTGGAACCCACTCTGGTAAACCCCCTTGCAAGCTTTATCCCTCTGGTGAAGGCACCCTCTCTGTCCTTGGATCCTTTGCCAGCTGAATAAAGTCTCTGACTCCATGTGCCGCTTCGCTCTTACTCTGTGTGCAGTTTTAAATTGTTGAAGATTAATAAATATCTTACCTTTGCAGTACTGCTTCATGCCTGCTTGTATCAGAGCACATTCAGAATGATTACAGTTTGAGCAGACTTCACTGCTCTGTATTTGTGAGTGGTTTTTCATCCATATGTTATCTTGCTGTGTGTAAAGCAATATTACACTATATTTTTTTTTCATTCCCCCTCCCTATATATGATTCATCACTGATCTTTTGTCCAATATATTTACCTGATTGGTAACATATTGTAAGTATATTCTGAAGAGTGTGTGGATGTGGCTATTGTGGTGACATTCTGTCATCAAACTAATATGGTGACCAGGGATCATGTGACCAAGCTCATGTGTGCCTTTCTAACAGTGGGATAAGCTTAACCCTTTGAAATGGTAATTGGGTAATTCAATACCTTTACAAATCAGGAAAGAGATAACCACTTCCCCCTATCTCCATTCCTCTCTGTTCCTTCTTGCCTGTGCTGCAGAGCAGATGTGCAGACGCCATGTGCTATCTTGGTGAACCATGTTACACTCTGTTGCTTCCTTTTATTCCTTGGTGAATATGATGTTGAACTTGCAGCAGTGAGCCATTACTAGATGTGAAGGCCTAACCATGGGTGAGATCAAATGTATGGTGAAGGGGATTACTATATAGATAGATTTAAAAAGGGTTGTTGCTCCGTCGGTCTGGGCTGTGTGTTTGTGATACATTTATAGTATTGTGTTGTTGCCTTTTAATAAATACCTTTTAATGTAGACGAACCTTGTGTAATATATATATTAATTTGGTGATACACCACAGCTATTACATACATTGTAATCGCACTTTATATTTACACTGCATAATATTTTTGTGGATACTGTACATTTGCACTTGGAAAGTTCACTGTATAAGGATATTGTTCTTTAAATGATATTGCACATTGCACTTTCAAACGTTATCACAGTGATACATTATTCTGTCTAAATGACACACCACACCTTTTATAGTTTTTATTCACTTTTTTCATTTTTAATGGGTTTCATTTTTGTTGTTTTTTGGCACTTTAAAGGGGCAGCTTTGTTATTAGTAATTATTTGTGTGTGTGTGTGTGTGTGCATGTGTGCCATGAATCTGAATTTGTGTGTGGCAAGTCTGAGGGTACATATGAATGTGGTTTTATGTATATGAGGCTATATGTATGTGAAGTGTAAGTGTGTATATGAACATGTTTATATAGGAATCTCTGTATGTGTATATGCATTTATTTGTGAGTTTGAGTCTACGTGTATTTACATTAATGTGAGTTCTTGTGTACGTTTGCATTTATATGTTGCCTACTTATTCCGCAGTCCTTTACAACATCATCAGAAGTGAGAATCTCAGCCAACCACAATGCTAGTAAAGCATTGCATTGGCTGAGATCGTCATTTCTAATAATCTTAGCTAAGAAGACAGAACAATGGCAGAGCAAAACGCAGCCCTGGCCAATCACCAATTCCCTAATAGAGATGCACTGAATCAAAGTTCAGCATCTGAGCTACACCCAGGAAGCACCTCTAGTGGTCCTCTGAGGAGCAGTCACTAGAGGTTTTTCTAGGCTGCAATGTAAAAACATCCTGCAGGGACAGGAATACATCCTGCAGGGACAGGATATAGTTTTTCTGATGATTATAGTGTCCCTTTAATTGCATCCCTTTAATTTAATTTCTAGAAGTTTTATGTTGACTTAAATAAGCTAGTTGTATTCTCCTTGTTTATTCACTATTTTATTCCTAATTTGTTTCATATAGTTTTTAAGTAATAACTGTATTGAACATCATACATTCTATAAACATATATTCCAATATTGTTGGCTTCTATTTCCATGTACATTCTCGTAAAACGAAGAAAATATAAAATAAAATCAAGTTGAAGACCATAATACATTTTAAATAAAATAATAAAAACTGTTTTAAATTGTATTTTGCTTCATTTGTGTTGGTTATTTATGTAATAATTTAAATAATTAAAACATTATCATTATTAGTAGTAATATATTTATTTATTTATATAACAGTATATATTCAATAAGCAACATAGTAGATTTTGACAGTTCCGCATGAATGTTAACAATCTAAATAAATGTTCCAAAGAACATAATTTTTTTTTTTTTTTACAACTGTGAGAACGAAAAAAAACAACATTCAGTCTATCACTGTTATGGTTTTCACTAAGGCAGTTGGGACATTGAGTTCCAGGCTACATGTGTCAGTGTTATTTGTGTTGTGCAAAATCTTGTACTGAGTGTATGTTCATTCCCAGAAAGAGATAAGAGCAGATCCTATAGAATAAAAGATGTAGATCCTGATTCATAAGTATATTCTTGCTGAAAGAGTCTGGGTCTGTCCACTAGTGCGTGGTGCAATTGTCAGTAGCAAGCACTAAGAAATTTAAAGAAGTTAAATTTATTAAGTTATTTTTTTAACAAAAATGTATTTAGTGTGTTAGTTATATAATGCATTCTGAAAAGAGAGAATTTATTCTCAAGTATGCATTCCCTTTCAGATGGAACATTAGGTGAAGTCCCATTTTAAACAACTACATTGCTCTCTTTTAAGGCCTTAATAAAAAACATATGTTCACAATATGTTGTATCATTGCGTATTTTGCTTTCTATCACTTCCAGGTGCTCGATAACAAATCCTGCATCTCTCAGAGCCTCCTCTACAGACGTTTTATCAGATGTTAATATGTGATATTTGCTCCCACCTATGGTGCAATATGTTCCCTTAAAAAATCCAAATAGCAGTAGATGCCCACCCAGTTTTAGCAAGCATGAAACTTTTTTCAGGTTCCGGCAGTAATCGTCTCGATCTTCAGAAACCAGATGGAAAACTAAAAAACTGACCACGCAGTCTGCTTTTGGTAGAATGACTGGATCTGTAATATTTTCCTTGGTGAAATCACATTTTAGAATGTGTGAGATATTTCTTCTTAAAGCGTTTTCCATTTCATTGCCCTTGAAGCTGAAAAATATTACCAGGGGGCTAAAACTTTTATACATACATACAATGGAGACACATATAACACGTGATCTGTAGTATGTGTTTATAAGGAACATTGATTAGCTCAATTTTGTTTTTACTTATTTGGAAATAAGTCTTGCCAAATTGTTCACCATATCTATTAGACTTGTGCAAATGTTTGGTTTGTCCATAAACATATTGATTCATTTGATGGTCATATTTCTGAGCTACAGTATATGTAAACAAATATTCAAAACATGTCTATGTATATAGTTAGGTAAAAATATTTCTTCCTATATTGATGACCTTGATTACCACCTGGGTGCAAGTAATGCATAACACTATAAATATATTTGCATATTTATATATGTGGGTGTAAGGGGGTGTATTATTGCTTAATAATATTACGGATTAAATTAAGAATCATAAATATACTCTTCATATTTTACTTAAGAAAGCTTGCATTTTTGGGGATATCACATTTTTTGTCACAGGTAAGCTAAAGAAAGAGTAATAGGATGAAAGAAACCTTTTGGATCAATAAAGTAAAAAACATCTAATCCTATGGCCTAAATGGGGAAGTTGATTTATGATGTTTTGATTAATTTGAGACTTATTTATACCACCTGTGAGAGATTACTAAAACACTTAGTTATTTTTTTACTGATACATTCTTTTAAATTTATATATGTATTTTAACTTTTTTTTTGCTTTTTATTTCCCACCCTTATTCTGCACACATAGAATGTGTGTTTTCATTACTCTGATAAACTATTCCTGAGAGTTTTGTTTTGGTGAGATTGTGAAATGTATTGCTATGGAGCTCTGTAGTGCACTCATACATACTGATCATTGCTCACAGGTTTATGTCTGTTGAGCTTTGTGATACACTCATACACACCGTGATTTAACTTAAGAGTGTTTTATTGCTTAGGATCTCTGTGATACACTCATGCATACTGTGGGAAAGTGTCATCAAGGATACATGATGAGGTGCATCATCCATGAAGAAAATAATGTTTGAATTTTCCAATCCTATTAAAAAGACTGATAACAGTATATCCAAAATATTATTTGATATTACAAAAATTAAACATAACAATTAGACATAAACATGTATGTAAAAATAAACACACTTAATGAACTTAATGAACATCTGATGCAAAAAGCATCTGGACAAATTTCCCCTGAAGACAATGGCTCTTCAATAGGATTACAAAGCTCAGGCATCACGCTACTGATTTTGTTACCTAAAGTATAGTAGGGCTATGCACACGGAAAATAATCTATTTATTCTTATTTTGTAAATTGATAATAAAATGTTATCAAAATAACAGCACTCTTCATTTGGGAAGCGGCGGACTGTTTATTGTTTTATTACATTTCACTAATCACACATTAAGAACCAATGTCTGTATAGAGAGACCCATCCATTCTTTTGAGATATGTGAATGTCTATGTGACAGAGAATATAAACCATTAATAAATATTCAAAAAGACCTGAATTCTGTCCCTGATCTACTACATGGATAGGTTTGTCTTTTAATTCCCAATAACTTCTTATGTTTTAGTAAAGTAATTGTGATGAATTGGACCTCATCACAGGTCCTTGGAGGAGCATACTTGCCATCCTCCTACCCTGTGACTAAACCGTGGTTGAAAATGTTATTTGTGACTGCTGAGACAGGAACAATTCGAATTTTCGAAGCGGCACTTCGAACTCCCGAAGCCATTCGTAGTGCCATTCGAACACGGGGTTACGGCCATCTTGTTTGCATGGACCAAAACCGTGAATAGACTTCAGGGGGACTTAGCCTTGAATGCCCTGGAACTATTTTCGACATGAAAACCTTGTGGTTCCCGGTCGGTCCTCCAGCGGCACTTAGCCATGATTCTATGGAACTACTTTCGGCTATGGGACCATGCCTGCGGTCGGTCAAATAAATGACTTCCATAAAATTCCTGAATTCCTGAACTGATCTGGGTGATTTTTGGACATTTTGGTGAGCCTGATCAGGGCTATCAGGGGATGTAACATATGTGGGGATACTATGTGCTTGGGGGTACTTTTGGAACTTTTTAAAAATATGTGTTTTTTTCTACTTGGAGTTTTTTGAATTGAAACAGTATCTGACTCAATTATCTCCCAGGCAGAGGGGAGGGATTGTATGTTTGTTATGGGAGTGTTGTGTATTTAATCACTGTTCTTATTGGTCTGTGTCTTTGTGCTGGAGTCCCCAACAAGGTCCATGTGGGCGTACCCCTTGCATGGGGATTGTCTTAAAAGTCCAGTGTGGCACCAATAAAATTCAATCTTACGCTACCCTCAACACAGAGTTCTACTGTTACACAAAGAGATCCTGTTATACTGCCATTACTACTAGCTCATGTAAGAGCTTCACAGATATACTCTCTTGGAGGAGAGGCCTTCCCACTGAGTCCTGGGATCCAGGAGTTTGGTCCAGGGTGGGAAGAGATGGCGAGATCCCAACCAAGATGTGTTGGTTTGTGGGGTCTACGGTGCTTACAGTGTCTGGTGCGGTGCTTATGGTTCTCAGCGTCAGCTAAGAAGAATAAATTGGCAGAGGTACCCAGTCGGGGTGCCAGATGGTCGGTCACAGTAATTAACTATACCTCTATAGTCAGCAAAAACAGGACTGTTAGCATGATCCTTACCTTGAACCTTGCAATTCTTTCATGATCGATAAGGCATGAGTCCAGTCATAGCTTTCTGACTCCCTATGATTCCATTTCACTAGATCCTTCAAACAGAGATCACTAAATTCTAAAATAGTGATGTCTTTGAAAAACTCAAACATGGGCAATAGATGGTGAATGTTACAGCCAGAAGAAATATCAATCAAATAGTCTCCTGTAATTTGACCTGCAGTGAAAAGTCCGGAAATAAAACCATAAACAAAGGTAAAACTTGTCCAAAATTACTTTAAATCTGTTTTTTCACTTAGATTTGATTGAAAGAGCTGAAAGTTAATATATTTGAGTATCGAAAATGATTACTATTAAATATTTAATATAACTTTAGAACTTTTGTTTTGAATTGAGACTTCATTCAATTTACAATTTTTTTTAAATTCTAAAAACACATTTTTTAGAAGCATTAATACTATAATGTTGTTTTACACCTAACATATTTTCTCAGGGTATGTTCCCTATTTAATTATTTTACTGTCAGAATACTTAACATAATGCATGTACATACATGTGGCTAGATACAGATTGTATTTTAGGCGAGTTATTTTCTAATTTTCATACATTTTACCTTGCCGTACACATAGCACATTTCATTAGCCTATGCACCAAAGGAAATTTATTTATTTTTTATAAAAAGCATTCATTTATTAAATCTGCAGTCATAATGGATCCATTTGTATTTCTTAAACAAACAAAGATAATAGAAGGTAGTGTCAGGAAGCAATGCCTATGGTAGTCTTCTCAAGTTCAGGGCAATATTTTAGAATAGGTAAAATCCCTACTGAAAAAGAGCCTATTTTTAGCCACATGGTTAAAGGTATTGGTTAAGTAGGGGCTAATTTGTTCTAGAAATAACTTATAAAATAAATTACCAAATCAATCTGGACCCGGAGTTTAAAATTTTTCTAAATTAGTAATAGCCTGTTTGACTTATTCAATAGATCCAAAAAACAAATATGAATACCGCACTCAAAAAAATTGTTGTAGTGAAGTCTAAACTTGTATTGAATTGCAAAAATATTTATTATAATAGTAATTCATAAGTTAATCAAGTAGATCTTAGTGAAATTCATTCCAATCATATATACACCTAGATTATTTACATATATACACACACAAAAACCTCCCTGTGCTGAATTTCATAAGTTATATATCTATATACACTGGTTACTGATACAAAAACTGAAAAAATAAAATGTCCAGAGAAAAATACTGAATGATGAAAAAAAAGAAAAAGAAAAAATGGAAAAAAGAAAAAAAAGGAAAAAAGGGAAAAAAAGAAAAGAAAAAGAAAAAATTTATATATTCCAGTCCTATTAATAGTCCCAGATATAGTGCACTATATAATTCATATAATCCATAAGTATATGGATGGATCTCACCAAAAATATGAAAACTTGATAGTATATTCAGTAGGAGGATGGTAGATCATGTAGATGATGTAAATAGAGTCAGGGTGAAAATGTGTTGTAGCTCGATGAGAGAAGAAATCACTCGTCCATTCAATGGAATCCGGTCCGTCTGGCAGGTCTTATCCTGGGCTCATACTCGTAGGCAATCCTGTAATCGGGCTGAAATAGGCGGCTGAGATGGGCTGCGCGCTCGGGACGTTGCTGTCCCTTCGATGGCCCCTGTTCCTCTACGTCCTGCCAAAGGGTAAATTTGTCAATTTAAACATCCTCATTAGGCGGCAAAAATCCGCCGCGACCACTCCATGCTACTACTTCCGCCTTCTGACGTTAGCGTACGTCGCTACGTCA